TAAAGTAGCTAAAAAGTAGCATTTATTGTGGAAAACAGCTGATAGAGGAAAAGAGCAGGAAAAAGCTAAAACTAAAAAATAAGCTGAAAGTAGTTAGCAGATAAATGTTAATTTTGATGAAAACAGCTTAAACTGAAATCACTAAAAAGTAGCTTAAATGGTGAAAAAAAACAGCTGAAAGAAGCATAAAAAGTTTAAATCAGCAGAACAGCTGAAAAAGCAGCAAAAAGCTAAAATTAGCTAAAGTAGCTAAAAAGTAACATTTATTGTGGAAAACAGCTGATAGTTGAAAAGAGAAGGAAAAAGCTAAAACTAAAAAATAAGCTGAAAGTAGTTAGCAGATAAATGTTAATTTTGATGAAAACAGCTTAAACTGAAATCACTAAAAAGTAGCTTAAATGGTGAAAAAAAACAGCTGAAAGAAGCATAAAAAGTTTAAATCAGCAGAACAGCTGAAAAGAGCAGAAAGACAGCTGTATAAGCAGAAAAAAACTAAAATTAGCTAAAATAGCTAAAAGTAGCATTTATTGTGGAAAACAGCTGATAGCTGAAAAGAGCAGGAAAAAGCTAAAACTAAAAAAATAAGCTGAAAGTAGTTAGCAGATAAATGCTAATTTAGATGAAAACAGCTAAATTTCCTAAAAAGTAGCTTAAATGGTAAAAAAACAGCTGAAAGCATAAAAAGTTTAAATCAGCAGAACAGCTGAAAAGAAAGCTAAAATTAACCAAAATAAACTGAAGGAAGCTGAAATTAGCAAAGCAGAACCAGAACAAAAGGTTGAGATTTATAACTTTGAATACAACTTCATTCATTTTCAGTTGGAAAAACATGGCAGGAAAAGTGAAATATCTCAAAAAGTATAAATGTTTGAAAAACTAAAAGTCACAGACTGAATGTCCTGAAGGAGCTGAACATTTTCATGTGTAAAGGTTTAWAATGGCACAAAAATTACAGAAGGATTTATGTGTCAAAAAATGTWCGGATGAACAATAAAAGCGACAATAATAATATGAGAAACACAAACAGAGTTAACAGCACTCACCTAAACTCCTGTGAGAATCTGCAGCCAGAACCAGATCTTCAGGATGGACCAGACTGTACCAAGATCTGCCCAACAGTTCCTCTGCTGAGWACCCCAACAGGAAGAAAACACTGAAGAACAAACATCCATCAGTAAATCTCAGTAAATCTAAAGAGACGTTTCTGTTTCTGTCTGAGTTTACCTGTCTGAGCTCTGACTGAAGCTCATGTCTGCTCTGTGCTCGCTGCTGAAGCTCCGACACAGAGGAGAGCCGCTGCTCGCCAGGTGGTTCGCCGTGGGGGTGCAGAGGGCCACGAACACGGGCTCGGTGGTCCGAGGAGCTGCTGAGAAGGACTGAGGGAAGAACTGGAAGCTCCCTCTGACCAGCACGGAGCAGCAGCCCCCGAGTCGCAGCTTCAGAGACTTGGAGGTCTGCATGCAGCACACGAAGCTCCTCTCTGAGGACACACACKGTGAAAGTTACACAACACACAACAAGCTAACCACAGCCGACAGCTAACGGCTAACTACCTGCTGACRAGTTGTTTTTAACATCCAGATTTGTCCGAACTACGTCCAGATCGGAGCGATCCACCAGGTCGTACAGAGTGTCTCCTTGCAGCAGGTCCACCTGGAGCACAGAGGAGTTTAAAACTGAAGCTCCTGCAGCRACACAGAAACCTCTGATGTGATCCCAGAGAACCGACCGTGGACAGGCCCAGATACTCAGACACGTTCTCCGACACGTAGACCAGCCGGCCCTGAGCCGTGGACACCAGGAGGAAGCCCTGCAGGGCCTCCAGAACAGCCTCGTACGGCGGGCAGGAGACAGACCTGTCAGCCGCCTGGAGCCCTGAGGAGACAAGTTCAAGTCTGTTTGTGTCTCTGCAGGGAGACTGGGACGGACACAGAACCAGGACTGGGACACAGAACCAGGACTGAGACACAGAACCAGGACTGAGACACAGAACCAGGACTGGGACACAGATCCAGGACTGAGACACAGAACCAGGACTGAGACACAGAACCAGGACTGGGACAGACAGAACCAGGACTGGGACAGACAGAACCAGGACTGGGACAGACAGATCAGGACTGGGACAGACAGAACCAGGACTGGGACACAGAACCAGGACTGGGACAGACAGAACCAGGACTGGGACACAGAACCAGGACTGGGACACAGA